CAAGGTCATCTTTGAAGACGCAGTCGCCCATTGTTTGTTAGACTGCGGCGAATTAGAATTAGCAAATTTGCGGGATACTCTTTTGACGAATTTTGTAAATAAATATCCTGTGTATGTTTATATGTCTTTCGACCAGTCAGACAGAGAAGTCCAGGTGGCTACTCTGCTGGGTGCTCCAAGCGATGTTATTTGTGATACTCTTAATGATGATGTTAAATCGCTCACGTCTTTTATCAAAGATTGCCTAATATTTGCGGAAAAAGTGTTCCGAATGACCTTCCAATAAATCTACCTAATTTTGTAGCAGTCATTACAATGAGCCTTCCTTTAACCACTTTTCATTGACTTATAACGGACGTGTCTTTACATTTTTTCAAGATGTGATTATGAAATGATATCAATATCAATTGTATCTCAATTTTTGTCTGCACCATTTTTTTTGTTCACATGTCACTTGCACTCACCGTTCTCATCCAAATTGTACTCTTCATTATTTTGGAGGAAATAAAGATATGAATGAATGAATGAATGAAAGGAAGCTCCAGACCAAATTAGGATAAAATCCCTTAATTTCTACAGTAGAAGAAGGATTTTAAAGGTTTACCTCTATTTCCCCTGTTCGGCCCCACCTCTCTGCCCCAAGGTGCAGCCACACCCACAGTTTATACAATATTGAGTCCCCTATGCCTAAGGATGCTCCAGACCAAATTAGGATAAAATCTTTAATTTCTATGCGCCATGGCATAAGCTCACCTGCCCGAAAAATCAAACAGAGGCATAGGGTGATGCATAGCCAGTAAAATCCTAGGATGTAGGCCTTTTAAGTTTGTTCAAATAAATGACACTGGCATGCTTTCAAGGTCACATGGGTCAAATGTGTTAAAACCTGTAAATTCTGAATAACCAAGAGTCATATGGTCATAATGCCTGGCCCCGTTAGTATGGTTGGATGAAGGGCTATAACGTTTATTCAAATGAATGACGTTAACCGTTCAAGGTCAAGTGGGTAAAACTTAATGAAATCTTTAAATAATGTCATCTGCAAACCCAAAGAGGCATAGAGTAAAGATGTTTTGCCGTTAGCATAATGGGATGAAAGACTTTGAACCTTTCGAGGTCGCAGGAACAAAATTTAATGAAATCATTACACAACTTCTAAAAGATTTTTGGCTTGTTTGTGTTTTACCTCCTATTAACAGCTGTGGTCATTTAAGGACGTGCCAGGTTTTGGTAGTGGAGGAAAGCCAGAGTTCCCGGAGAAAAACCATCGACCTATGACCAGTACCTGGCGACTGCCCCAGGTAAGCCTCAAATCTGCGACCCAGTGGTGGAGAGCTAGTGGTAGCAGATTGTCAGACGTCTTAACCACTTAGCCACCTAGGCCCCCTAAAAGAGGCATGATGCTTGACCAGTAGCATTACAGTTGAATTACCAAGGGAACAGGGATCAATTTTGTTAAAATCTGTAACTGAATTCTTTTGAATAACTAAGGCCTACTGGCTCAGAAAAATGAACGCCCCACATTAATGCCCAAGACCTCTATCTCCAGATGTCAAACCAACTTATTTTATACAAAATATGGTTATTATTCAACCAGTTGTTCAGGAGGAGCAGGTTTGCCTCTCTGCCTCATGAAGGCCATAACTCCTGATATACAACACTGAATTCCCTTAGCCAAGGGATGCTCAAGACAAAATGGTTAAAAATTGTTTAGCCATTCAGGCCTAGTAGGAGTTTAAAAGAAAAGTTATCAGACGATGGAAAGATGACTTGCCACAGAATAAGGTGACTTGGCACTTTAAGGCCAAGTCATCATGAACTTAAAACCAAAACAATTATGGTGGTATAAAATTTTATTGTTAGATTTGATATACAAAAACATTTTGTTATCTTGCAACTAACAACATATATATACAAATATATATAAACTAGATACCAGTTTAAGTTGACCAAATTGTTGTGCTTAGTGAGTGTCCAAGTCTGACATTACACAATATCTCCCCAGAAAATAACCACACCCTAAAGAACCTGCATATCAAATTATACATGATGATGATGATGATGCTGATGACGTTGATGAAAATACAAAAGGTTTCTGTATTTCATTAACTCATTTACCCCTGAAATTTCATAATGAATTATTTCAACCTTTGAATTGGAAGAGTTCAAATGTGTCTTTAGGGGTGAATGAGTTCAAATGTAATGTTTTTCTCTCTTACCTGTGAATGGAAGGTTAAAGTGTTTTGGTTAGAATGCAGCAACGTTGGGTGTTAAAGAAATATCTGCCTTACCTGGTACATTTTATACACAATGCATTCATTTTGTTGTCACAATGAAAACAAAAGGACTGAATGGGCCTGTATCACTCACCAGGATATTTGGTTGAAACTAGTTGAGATGATATCAAGTCAAGATTGACTCCACCAATCTGAGAACAGGATGGCCATTTTGAATGAAGAATAAATTCAAAATAATAGCACCTGTACTGGAACACCAGCGTATCGTTTACCAGGTATATCAATTTTGGCTACCATTTGTCTGGTTGTAGTTGAAAACTATCTTTGTCAATTACATGACAGGTGATGATTGTCTTTGACTGGGAAATGGTCCAAAGGTTACACTCGGTCAGGACCTTGAGAGGAACATTTGTATGCTGTTTTGTGAATCTGCTTGATGAAAAATTAAGTATTCTCAAATAAGTGGAAAAGCGGTCAACTTAGATTTCAAATCAGCCAGTAAGTTACGATCTGGTACGATCTGGTAAGTAGGTAGACCGGATCATATGGGGTTTTTGATTTAAACATATTTTCATTTGCATCTAATATACAAAAGGGATTGGGCACAAGTTGTCCAACTTATGTAAAGCCGTTTCCCTATAACATAATGAAATATATATATACAAGATGGCAATTTTTAAATTAATTAGTATTTTCAATTAAGTTTAGTGTTACTGACAGAGAGAGAGAGAGAGAGAGAGAGAGAGAGAG